AAGAACTACAAGTCCGGTGCCATCGACCCCCAGGTGTTTGAGTTGCCGGCGAACTACACGTGCCGCTCGTTCCCGGGGCCGGGCGTCGAGCATATCGGTCACCACAACCCTATCCGGGAGTTCATTAACGGCGCCGACAGTCACGTGGACTCGGAGTTCGCGAAGTTTACGGACAAACACGACAAACGCTACGATAACTCGACTCATGAGAGAGGAAGGAAAGACGTCTTCAGACAAAACTTGAGATTCATTTCGTCGAAAAACAGAGAAAACATTGGATACAGGCTTTCGGTCAACCATTTGGCGGATCTGACGGATTTCGAGCGGAGGAGTTTGCGAGGGAAACGGTATTCCGGTGTTGAATATAACGGGGGACTGGAGTTCGACAAAACCAAATACTCGCTCAACGCTGTGCCCCAGCAGTGGGACTGGAGGTTGAGTGGAGCCGTCACTCCCGTCAAAGATCAGGCCGGTATGTATTTGTTGAATACATAATTTCTAAGACATTATAATCAAGACATTTGTGTTTGACATACAGTTTGTGGCTCGTGTTGGTCTTTCGGTGAGTCTTAAGGGGATCCCTAAATCTTAAGCCAATTGTAATCCGAGACTACTGTTCCTAAGGCACTACCGGTACCATCGAAGGCGTGTATTTCGTGAAAAGTGGACATTTGGTGAAACTGTCTGAACAGCAGCTAATCGACTGCAGTTGGAATGAAGGGGATAATGGATGCGATGGCGGGGAGGACTTCCGGGCCTACGAGTACATCCAGAAAGTGGACGGACTGTCCACTGAAGACGATTACGGCCACTATTTGGGCGAAGACGGCAAATGTCACGACAAGACTGTGAAGAAAACTATTCATTTGAAGGGCTTCTATAACGTGACGTCTGGAGATACACAGGCGCTGGAGACTGCCCTCTATTACGAGGGACCGGTCACTGTGGCCATCGATGCCTCCCATAAATCCCTGTCCTTCTACTCCAGTGGCGTATACTATGAGCCCCAGTGTGGTAATAAACCCGAGAATCTGGATCATCAGGTCTTAACATTCTGTGTTACCATTGGTTTAGTGTCTTATGTTTTGTGTGTATTTTTGTGTCAATAGGTTCTGGCGGTTGGTTTCGGTAGTCTTAAGGGCGAGAAGTATTGGCTCATTAAGAACTCGTGGTCTACTTATTGGGGTAACGATGGCTACGTCCTCATGAGTCAAAAAGATAATAACTGCGGGGTTACCACTCAGCCTACGTACCCAATCATTGCTGACAAATAAGTCCCTATTGTGTGTGACT